CGCTAGTAGGTTGGAGGCCATCGCTAGTAGGTTGGAGGCCATCGCTACTAGTGACAAGAAGATACGAACGTAGCTCCTGTTTCATTGTTCACTCTGGCGGGGGGGGGGGCGGACCAAACGAATCGCTTCGTTCGTCCCCACCCGAAATCGGGTGGCTCTTTTCCAAAAGAAACCATCGGTCCTGACGATTCCGTCGGGTTCTCAGCTCCCCAGTCCCGCGAGGAGCTGGAACGGAGGAATGAGTGGGAGACCTGGGAGCCGTTGCACTGGGCCACCTTGTCCTACTCCTTGGCCGTGAACCAGGCCGATGGCGGGAGTGGAACAGCTCTAGGCCTCCCTCCATCGGGATGGCGGGAGTGGTGATGGGATGGGCGTGTGAAGGATGACCTTGGTTCGGGTGAAAACAGGTGGCCATCCATGGGGATTCTAGGAATGGAGAGGATGGGAGTGGTTCGATCTGCCAGATGTCACCGAGGTGTATGACTGTGGTTTGAGAGGCATCGCTACCTCCGGTCCCTGAGGAGTTTGCCAGGTTTCTCTCAAATCTCTCGCTGGTGTACAGTCAAAGGAACGGGCTTTCTACCTCCAGACTCTTGGCTCAAATGCCACGAGTTCTGCGGGGATTTGAGCCAAGAGTTCTGCGGGGGAAGGTTAACCATCCACTCTGTAGAAAGCAACGCGTACTTGTAGGTGCTGTGCCTGGTTCGGTGCGAGTGTTTCACTCGGTGGTTCGATGAACTGGACCTCTCCAAACAGACCTGCCTACTTCGCGGTGCCCTACAGGACCCGGCTTTCGGCCAAGATGACCTGATTCAGAATCAGTTCATAGGGTACGGGACATGGCCTCCAAACGCGGATGTGAGACAGATATGCCATGCGTTCTTGTGTGCATTCTATGCCTCAACTACTACCCTTCAAACACGATGGCACTTCTTAGCCGCGCGCATCTTTGGACCGCCATGTCCGCTCCTTCTCCTGGGTAAGGCCGTTCTCCTTGCTCTCTGCCAGATCACGATCTGAGACCGGTCGGAACCGCTCGGCACGGTTCCGCCCTTCCACCCGTCCGGGTCCGAGCCGGTCCGAGCCACGTCGCTGGCGGGGTCAGGTCCGGCATGAGCGCCTCATGGACCGGATCGCCATACACTTCTGCGAGCACATCCGCGAGTTCGACGAACGGCTCCGCTCCAAGGGGGAGCGGAAGACGGGGGGGTGGTTCACAAGACCGGTGGGTCGATCTGAAATACAGCGTTGGATTTTTGGGGTCCAAAAGCCAGCTAATCGAGGCACAGCATGTTTTGGTATGATATGCTGTATGATGTTGTATGCACTGTAACTGTACCTGTTCACAATCTATTGTGGCCCTGCCGATGGGTTTTTGCCCTGGAAGTCCTCCTGTAATGCACAGTGAGGAATTCATGATGCCACATGGGTGTTGTTTCTTTTACTACTCCGAGGCAGCAAGACTCAGACCGTAAACTGGGCCCCGGCACCTGAACGTTCAGAGCATTCAATGCAACTAGTACGATCAGAATCGCTCAGCCGCCAGAGACAGGAAAGACGTGGAAACGGCGCAAGATGACAAGTGACCAGAACAACTGCCATTGAAATCAATTAGAATCGTTCTGAACGACCTTTGTGCCGGCTTCCTTCTGGCAGCGTGTTTCTTGCCAGCACGATGGAAGCCTGGGCCATGGTGGGGACTTTGCTCCTTCTTTGGGCTCCGCTCCACTGGGGTCTCACGTCCAAAGACCTGGTCGAGCTACGGCGGTGGATCCGCAAGCAGATGGAGCCGACGGCGGATGCGACGTCGGATGTGCGGAAAGAAGCCAGGGTTGAGGAGGGGTTAGGGGTTGCGATGGTCGATGGTCCCTTTTGTAGGGGGCTGCTGTGATGGATTGTTCAAGGAACTGAGTCTGAAAAGCAAACGCCAGCAAATTCATGCACGGATGCTGTTCACTCCTTGAAGCAGTCATGGCATGGAAAATGGCCCCTTGGATGACCATTTTCCTCTACAAACAGGTGGCTTTCCACTTCCATGATTATTTCAGGAAGTTGAAGAAGAACTTTTACATTGACGTCGTAACAAGAAATATGAAGAACATCTGCCAAAGAGCACCTGAAGTGTCCTGTTCTTTCTTTAATATGCGATGTTTGGACGATGAATGATTGTCCTTCTCCCCTGGTCACCTACCAATGGTTTCTCCTTGATTTTCAGCCCAGCCAGGAAGAGATGACTCAGCTTCGCAAGAGGAACTTCAAATTATTTGGCCGTTGCTTTTCTCATATGAACTTTGGGCGTGGCATTCTCCTGCTGTACCAGCTCTGGGCCACACCCGGGCTGGACTCTGCCACCTGGGCAGCTTGTTGTTTGGTTTTCTACATGCTCTTCACAGCGGTCGCTCAGGATTATGTGGAGCTCACCAGGTCGGCCGACCTGGATGTGATGCATGAGGTCGCCCCAGGTCGCACCAGGTCGCACCAAGCTACACTGCTTAGCAGGGGCTGAAAACACTACTAGAAAGCTCTTGGATGGCAGTGCTTCAACCTGGTTTACTGATCATTACCGATCTATAATGTTCACCTCTATTAATAACCCCCTCCTCGTCACTCCCCCCCTCCCTGAACGAGACTAAGTAATAGTCAAGTGCCAGGACCGGGTGTTCATCAGCACCAGGAACCATCGGACTGCAGGACATGGAGCATCCAAAGGGCAGTCCCAAAAAGTTCAGCTTTATTCAGGGTTAGTTTATTCATCAGTTTTGAGCAGTTGCTTTGCTTTATTGAGGGTTCGATGATTAATTGAAGGTCGACATGAGCATGGTGTGTGAATCAAAGATATCACATGTCGTCGTCCGCATATGTCCACAACAAACAGTACGTCAGTATGTGACATACTGAACAAGAACGGATTCACCAACTGCCCATCCTGGGGTAGAACCCCCTCGTCGGACCGGAGCAGAGGGGGACGATCTGAGCGTGAAATGGAGAGCGCGGTGTGCGAAGCGAAGTCACAAACTGAACAGCACAGATGGAAAGACATGCGGAACCCAATTCATGTGCAGTTGACCTGAGTCAACCTAAGTCCACCTGACATGAGTCTGCTGCTCCTGCTGGCATTGCTTTTCTCACTTCCTCAGACAAACGTCTCATCCCAGTAAAACCTAATCAAAGTCGTTTGCGCCCAAGTGGGCTGTCCATTCGGATGTCCGATGTCAGGCAGCGACTCAAGCTCATCACCTTCTTTACACATGTGGCCGCGCTTGCATTCTTTGTGTCGATGGCTTGGTCAGGCACTTGCATGCGATCAACAGGACAAGGTTTTCACGCAGCTATGCGCTTCTGCCTGGTCCTGGTACCCTTGGATCCCAAGATCACCATCCCTTTCCAAGTGCTTTATACCTTAGTCGAGGTGCTTTTGCATGTTTCTGTGGTGGAAGAGGCTGACTTCTGGGTGCAACTCGGGTCCTTCAGCTCTGCACAAATCTTCATTTTGGTGGAGACCATCGCCTCGGCGGTTTTTATTGATATGGGCCTGCGCGGGCGCATCTATGCACAGCTGGACACCGCGGACGCGGAGTCCTTGCTGGGCAGCTTCCGACGGGTCTTGCGAGGTGGGTGCAAAACGCGGTCTGGACGATGTCACGAGCATAGAGAAACAGGGAGAACTTGAGGAGAAACATGGAATGCTTCACTAGGCTTCTCCTGAATGCGGGTTCAACATGCTTCAAGCGTTCAACCCATAGAAACAGTCGCCAACTGCGTTGCCTTGTTGACAATCCTGTGGTTTTCCTGTTCCATGACTCAATGACCATGTCCTTTGGGAGCTGGGGTTTGGGGTGAAATAATCAGCTGAGTAGAGTGATGTAGGTATGAGCGCCGAGCCCATTTTTCAGAGCCTCCGAGCCCCCAAACATTGCCGCCCATGCAGGTGTTTGTGATGGCGATGTGCTTTTGGACAGCCAGATGATGGTGGCTCAGGAGAGCCAATGCTTAAGACATTTGATCCTCACCGATGTGGGTCTCAAGGGCAAGTGCTTTGAACATTTGCTGCTGGATGATGAGCAGCGTACTCGCTTTCGTGAATTCATTGAGGCCTCGAGCGATGCTGGGCTGCATTCAGCAGTTTTATTTCGTTTAGACATCCTACCAAACATCATTGGCAGTCGCCCCACACGAGTAAGTGAGCCAAGTGGTGAGACCACGAGGGTCTCAGTCTGGTCATGAGAATTTGCGTCTATTTTCTTGAGATCCTGATCAAATTCTCAGGAGGCCTTTCAGGCGCCAGACGCCAAAGACAGTGCACCTCCACTCTGCTTGCGGGTGTCTTTTCGTGGGGCTGCAGGAATACGAGTGGCCACGGATATTTACCATGTGCCTGTTCCAGGCTGCGGGGGGGGGCCCATGGTGGCCCATGACCGACACATGATTAGAGTCATTTGACAAGACGATACAAGAAGTGAACGGTACTCTTAGGGGATTTCTTCTCAAGCCATGTCTGAGGTCCAGGCAGCAGGATTATGGGGACGAACCGGAGACTGAAGCACTGCCTATACAGAGACTCTGGAGTTTTAACGTATTTTGGGGTGCCTTTTAGCCCTTTTCCTTGCTGTGGGTGCTGAGATTCAACATCTCTTTGTGATTTTGAGGGTTTCCCCCCCAGAGTCGCAGGCCTATTTGGTGCCAATGATCCTTACCATCTCATCGCATTCAAAGAAGATCCTGAATCCCGGCCACAACCTGAAGCCGCGGAAGATGCAGTGCCTTCTGTGCTTTTGCCTACATGGAATCAGGGCCACACTCACGTGCGACCCCAGCGCGTAGACTCCAAGTCACTGGTGTCCGCAAGCACCGGAGGAAGTGCTCCGCTGCAGACGTTCTGTGCCGAATTGAAGGAGATGGCCCTGCTCGTGGACGTGGACTCGCACTTGCAGGACGTCACCGAGGCACATTTGAGGTTTGAGCGGAATGAGCAGCCCAAGGACCTCCCTGCCGCCTTGCAATCGACCATGCCTAACCTGCGCAAGCTGGTCAAACCCTCCGAATTCGAGAAGGTCCGGTCAAAAGCCGTGAAGTTTACAGAGACTCAGCACAGCAATGCACAGCACCCTTTGATGCGTTGTTTTTTCCTCGGTTTTGTCCCAGGAAGTGGGTCCAAGCAGTCTGTAATTTCTTCACTTCCAACTCTTCTGTCCCAGTTGCTCCGTTGCTGAGGAGAGAGGTCTACTTGATCCCACCCTTCAGTCCCGAGTGCTGAAACCGATGACTGTGCAACTGCCTGGTGGGCACGTGCCGAGCTGGGTGATGGCAGAAGAAGCCGCCTTCACACGCTTCCCGAATGAGGAGTTTTCGGGACGGAAAGTGTGGCTGCATCTGAAACGCTTTCGCTCGCCACGGGCGCCACGGGAACCGCTCTTGAGCATCCCAGACACCGGCCTCCGCGCGAGAGCTCGACCGAGCCAACCTAGCCAGACTTCGGGTTGATTGGCTGAGGCGTTAGCTTCGAACCCTTTGCATCTAATTGATGTCACGAAACATGTCACGGGGCTTCGAGGTCAGGTTCACCCTGGCCCTTCACCTGCAGCTGGGTGGTAAAAACCACCCAGCTGCCTTCCAGCCATTTGGCGCCAGCATTGGCGGTGTTGCTCCAAAACCTCATGATGCTTTCATAGGCTATGGATGTGGTGGGTGGGAGTCAGACTAAACTAGTGTGGAATGTGGAATATTGATGAATCACCACCCCATTTGGATTGGACAACCGCTTCATAATATTGGGCATTTTAATCCAGGGGTTTGTTGTTAAATTACGGGTTTCATTACGTTACTGTACATCTATCAGATTAGGCCATTCAGACTGGAGTTTGAGGCCCGGACGTCGATCTTGTTTGGGGGCGAGTGTCCACGCATCCAGCACCAGCTGATCGAACGGAAGAACGGGAAGCATGTCGGGGCGCTGTGAGTTTCAGTCACCAGTGACCATGGTTCAACAAGGACAAGGTCAGCGCCCCATGGAATCGGTCTCACTCAGGTCGATCTCCATGCTGGCCTGGGGCTTGGCGTTCCTCAACTGCCGCAACCACGGTGAAGCCGTGGCGTCGGTCTTGGCGGAAGAGCTTTCGAGGCCTGGCCATCCGAATTCGTTCTGTGCGCAGCATGGGGTTGGACGGCACGCAGTGAAGGGATTGGCGACGTATGACTTCACAAAATCGAAGGAAATCCAATCCGATATTCAAACGCGAGCCACTTCCCAACCTAGCGACCTCACCCTTTCAAAGGGCTTGGCCGGGCTTGTCTCCAACGCTTTCCGATGTTTTCCTTTGATCCCTTTGGGCAGGGTTGCTCCCCGGTTTTGGAAGGTGCCACATTCCAGCTCCATAGGAGTCAAAAAACCTGTCAAATTAACATAAATTACTGATTTAACCTACTCGTAACACCACCAACAAAAGTGTGCATACAGCTATACATGATTCTGGTTACCGTAACATCTATTTCGTCAAGAACCCCACCTTCCTCCGCATCCCCCCCAAAATGCGCACCCCCCCGCTCGCCTTCCCCCGCCGTTCAGCGGCCACAGAACCCCCCTCCGTTCCGGAGGTTTGGTCAGAACATCCGAAGCACCGAAGCACCGCCGCCCGGACAGGCGGTCACATGAGTTTAGCTCCCTGAGTTTGACCGTGTCCTTTTGGGCCGTGGCCCTCCTCGGCGGCAAATCGGCGGCGCTGCAGACCATGCGACTGGGCGGACGGAGGGCAAGGCCTAAGCGGAATCGGTCCGAGTGATGCGGAATCTGAGGATCGGACGTGAGTGAGTCGTAAGCCTCACGAAGTGCGGTGCTGGGCAGGTTTTCATCATGTTCCATCAGACCTTTGGGGTGATGGGCACATGGGGAAGAGATGGATTGTCCTCCAGGTGGTTCAGGATGTCCTTAGCGTATCCACCGTCGTGGTGGAGGTTACATGCTATCACATGCCATCTGAAGCCAACATCCGGAACGCGCCGAGGAATGTGATGTTCAAGGAAGGCTTCTGGAGCCGGGATTTTGGGGTCTCAGGCTACTCCCAGCTCTACATGTGCATGGCCTGCTGGCAGGCGCGAGGTCATGAGGTAGGGGCGATGACATGAGGTGGGGTCAATGATGGGCTGAAGTAACATGAGACCAGGAGCCTCCAACAATATGCGAATCGAATGTGTTGTTGGAATGTTAGAATGGTCGATTCTAGATGGTTGGTGGCCAATATGTGAGCTCAATACTGCTGGAGAATATGCTTGAAGAGAATGCAGAACATTTCAAGATACTTGTCCCAGATCGCGAACACGTTCGAACTGGTCCGGCGAACGTGCTGGGTGATCGTTGTTTGGGCCGGTTTGCACCTTTTTCGAGGTCGGAAACCGGATTCCTGAAACCACCCAAAAGCTCTTAATGCAGACGCAAATTTCAGAAACGGTGTAAGTGCATTCTTCTTTTCTATAATGCGGCAGTCATTAGGCATTAGGGAGGCGTAGCGCGGCGGGCTGCCTAGTTCTTGTTTTGTGTTTTTATCAAAACCCCTGGAACAGCGATTGGACTGACGGGTGTCTTGTTCCCTGACACTTGTGGTCCCGTTCAGCTTCTACTTCTGGGTTTTGGGGGTTTTCTTCAACCGGGCTGCAGACGGTCGGGAGTTCCATTCCTTTGCTGGTGGATGGGGCTTTGCGAGCGTCATGCCATTGGCCTCATCGAGTGGACAAACAGGTTCCGTGAGGTAGGTACTGTAGTACTTAGGTAGCGTCGAAAAGAACACGAGGCCATCTTTTGGTCCCTTCTCCAGTCACCCTTTGGGTTGTTGTCCCTTCTCCAGGTGCGAACTCGCTTGGTTTTTACGCGACCGTGCTGTCGGCTTGCGACCTCTCACGTGGCGACAGGCTGAGCTGGGCATTCAAGTGGATCAGCTGGTGGGCTATGAGGTGTGCCGCAAATGCTATGAGGACTATTGGGTTCGGACCGCGGCACGCGTGCCGGGTTGCCCGCGTTTCCGGCTCAGCACCAGACCGTTCGGTACCGAGTGGAGTCAAGTTGATAACATGTCCACCTGCCGAATCATGCGAAAGGGGGGCAGAACATCAAACACTTTGTGCTATGAGCCTGGCTTTGGACACGGGGCAAGCTACGAAGGGTGGAGGGTGTGGGTTCGACATGCAGGCTAGACGCTACAGGGGACAGCAGAATGTTTGACTATATATTTATTGATTTTAAAAAATATATCAATTAAGTACAGTATAGTATCAATCAATATACAAATGATTTACAGCCGGATACCTACAGGCGAACGGTTTTCTGGGCCGTTTCCCGGTTCCGTCCTGTTTACAGCCTGTCAGCTGAATGAGAAAGACATTGGAAATAGGACAGCTGGTGAGCGTTTCTAAGCGCTAGAAACGGTCTGGCTCTGGCACCAAAAAAGCGCCCGCCAGGTTCATTGCTAGTGTGGCTTCACTCAAGCCACAGACAGGGCACATACTTCAGCTAGGACCCATCAAGGACAGCCCTTTGGAAGCTGTTGGGCTTCGGGCACGGCAATTTCCCTACCCAGATGGTACCAAACAAAAGGCAGAATGCACGTCGACGTCTCCCATTCCCCTGCTGGCAGGCCCAACCAGCTTCTGGCACTGTCAGACTGTCAGCCAAGCTCGGCGAAACCATCAGCGTTCGCTCGCCTAGCTGCTCGACCCCCCCCTTCTCCAGCTGCGAGACAGGAAACAACAATCCTCTATATGGGCGAGCAGCACCGGCGTTTGTCGGACCGTTTGCGAGTCCAGCAGATCCCACACCAGGCGAGGTTTCTCATCCGGGAAGGGGATGCGGGCCTCCAGTCGGTCATTCGGGTCATTCAGTATGCCTACAATATCCCACAAACATCCACAATCCATTACAAGATGAGAGCCCAACAGAAAGATGCAAAAACCAATTGTTTGGGGTGCAGAGTTCAATGCGACAACCAGTGGTTCGCCCTTTGGCCACTGTTTGCTATTTTGAGCCTCTGGAATTGGCAGCCACTCGCTCCTGCTACTATAGCATATGGGCGTGTATTAAAATTGGGAGACCCCCCCCAAGACCTCCTGGAAGAATAGATAAACACCCATTGGTGGGGTGTCCTTCTATGAAATTCGCCCATATATCATATATGTCCCAAACCAGTTGGTTGGCAGATCAACCCCTGAGCAATCGCGTGTTTGAGTCTTTCGGAACGAACGGTCACAATCATTGCGGGACAGGGAATTCGACGGGGGTGACCCGTCGCACTTTCGAGTTGAAGTCGTTTTGACCAGTAACCCAACTGGGAACAGACCCTTTAGACAGGATTACGGTTTCTCAAAATATGGCTATTGCCACCACAAGATGTTCCAAATCAGATGAATATATGCCAAATCAGGAGTCTCCTAAATTCTGGAGGGCCCACGAAGTTCTTCACCGGGTCAGGAGGCCTTTCATGCGTTTGAAGAGGCCAACAGTATGGCTCCCACCTTGGACAACTTCAACGATGCAGGGGTCCGTGCTGACATCATCATCGAGAAGCTGAAGTGTCTTAGTTTCTGAAAAAGAAACGGGAGTTGTCCCTCGAGTCACTCCCAACAAAAAGTCCAGTGCGGACTCCACATGTTCGGCTATAACAGCACCTTTTTGTGATCAGCAAACGTCGCAATGAACTGAATGGATGAGTATGATCGAGAGCGATTTCCCGAAGACGAACTGAAGGTTGAGAACGTGAGTATCCTGCATCAGGCTGTATTCCATGTGTGTGCTTGTCAGGTCAACTCTTATGGCGAAGGTTTGGAGGATGACTTTGCCTAAATTCATCAAAATTCTGTGTTGACCCGGAACCCCATACCAGGACCCACATAGGGTGGTTAATGGACACCCCTTAACATCTAAGGGGCCATCAATAGAAGCCCGTTAGGGTGTCCTGGTAGGGGGGGCTTCTATGTTGTTCCAGCTGGGTTTGGAAGTCCACCGTCCCAAGTTTGAGAGCCACAGCTGATGGACTCCAACGACATTCACCAACGACCCAACGGAGTCGAGCAAATCCCAATTCACGACCATCATCGCTCGGTCCGGCTTGACGACGGGCGCCCTCCGATGGCTTGGGGGACCAAAGCTTGGGAACCCTGGGGTCTTTTGAAGGGAAGTCCTTCACGTGACCGGTCTGGTCGTTCCGGTCGTGAAGTCCTTAACGTGACCAGACCGGTCGGCCCGGAACCGCGGTTTGCCGGTCCGAAGGTGGAAAGGAGTCGTGGATGGACCAGGAGGTTTGACATGGTGGGCCTTACCCAGCAGCTTTTTGCTGGGCCTGACACCGTGAGTTGGGGCCATGCGGCCAAAAGGTTCGGCCTCGAGTGGGTATGGATTGAGGACATGTCACTGTCAGAAACTGCCCAAGAGCTCTCACGAGCCCAGTGCACCCATATAGGACACATCTGTGGACACCTGACGCCCGAGCACCGCCACCTTTCGAGTGGATCCACCAGTCCGGAAGAGCTCCGGCTCCCGGTGGTCGTTCCGAACGTCGCCGAGGCTGGTGATTGAGGTGGAAGGTCCTCAGCGGAGCACCATCCCGATGGAGCTTTTGGCCGAGCCTCGGGTGCTTCGCTCCGTTCACCGGTGACCCGCGCCGCCCGAGGGAGGCGGAGGATTACTCCTAAGGGTAGTCCCCCGAACGGTTCGAAGATCGGGTAGGTTGGGATCTTTTTTCCGGCGTCAAGTGGTGGTGAACTGGGTTGGTGAGGGGGCTGAACTCTTCCATCAATGCAGTGTAATGTAGACTCTTGGATTAATAATGACCCCCACAATCCCCCGCATGAAGAGGACGGTTTATTTATCAAGAGTCTACATTATTGAACATGTGTTAGTTGGTGAAGCTCCTGCACCCAAAACATGGTTGAAACATGCGACATGCGGGAACCACCTTCGAACTGGGAGGCACGAACTGGAGGGTTCGGGGATCCTGGATGAGGGTGAAGATGGGTGAATCCTATCAAGGGAGGCATGCCAAACGAACCTTAGACCACCCAACGTCTAAACAACATCAACCAACCCTGTAACTAGAGTATTGCCGACCGTTGTTGAACAACGCCCCCTACCAGAATGGTTTTATGGTATATCTCCATATGGGGGTTCTTAAGGTTTTCTTTTGTGGGCTCCAAGGAAAAGATATCGGGGGAGACGGACCCCCAAGAAACATAATATACTGACTGGTTAACCCATCCAACATGATCCGACAAATAGATGATTGCAGCATTCCTTGAACGACTGTGGAACCTGGCCTGGCCGAAGGGTGGGAGGTTTAGTTTATAGAAATCAGTCCTTGTCAAGGGACGTTTGCGCTAGCATTGGCCTCTGCATCCTCGCACCTGTTGGAACACGAAGACCTGCTATTTTGATCTTAAGATCGAATTTGATTGGTCTTCGAGCCGTGAAATGAAAGCACCCCTGGATTCTGGATCAAACATGGAGAAGATGCAGAACATGTTTTGGAAACACGATAATCCTGCTAGCAGCACCCGTCCAGTGTCTAAGACTGGTAATGAGCCCATGTTTGTCCACCTATGAGAACCAACCTGAGTAACATCTGTGGTCCAAGACCTTGAAAAAGAGAGGTTCACCTCTCATGTGATGCTCCAATATTATATATCCCGGCAATCTCCGGTGGTATAATAAGTATGTAGTGCTTGTTGGGCTAAGACAGGCATAGACATCCACAATTTGACAATGAACACCTTCCAGTCCCTACTGTGTTGTCTTGTTTTCTTGTTCAAGTGACCACAGTATGAAAGTAACCACAGTTTTGTCTATGGTCACTGTATAACTGTGTTCCAAGGAGAAGCTCAAAGAAGAGGAACCGGAGGACGGCGCTGGCGAGAGCCGGCGCGAGAGCCGGCGCACCGTTCTGGCCGGCGAGCGGGCAGAGGTCCTGGTGCAAGCGCGAGAGCTCCTTAGGTTCAATGGGTTCAATCAATTCAGTCTGCTAAAGAGCATGATTGAAAAAGGAATCAACTGCACACAGTGCTCAATGCCCATTGTGCAAAAAGCCTCCACAGCCCTTCGCGACGCTAATGATGCACTACTCGGCGTCCATTGCATCACTCGCATCACCAGACCCCATTTTCACTGCTTTTCTGACCCTCGCTTTGGAGCGCTCTCCCCAGGCAAGCTCCGCAAATGGTGCCTGTTCGCGCCCCCTTAACTCACTTCGTTCGGTCTAAAAGCTCAAGCCTAGCCTATCGGCTGGCTTTCGTAATATATATATATATATACATCATCTATATAAAGGTGTTGGTGTACCTATCACGTAGCGCAAATACGTTTAATAAGTGAAAGAAAATTGGAAGAACTCAAACTGTTTGATTTTCACACACGGGCTCAAGTCAAGAGATTTTGGGGCTGGACTGCATAAGCCAAATATAGTGAGAAAATGGTTCCAAATGGCTCACAATTCAAATATAGTGAGTGGGATCAACCAAAATCACACTGAGTTTAACCTCCAGTAGCCGCGCAAACCAATGGCCCAATGGGGCCAAATGAAGTGCAAACTGTGATGTAGTACTTTGATATATATATATATTGACATGTGGTTTTTGCAAGCAGCAGGGTGCCCTGGCCCGAACAGGGGTCTACTCTAGGAACCTCCTCCTTTCGTTCTGCATCTCACATCTTGGCTTTGAACGGGTGGAAACTGAAACCAAAAGGATGCAAATCTTGAGAAGAGTGATACTCTAAGGCTAGAGGTTGATGCACAAACCCTCTGGTTTGTCACTTCACAGTTTCACAGGCTCTTGCTTTAGCAGGTTATTGGCTGGGGGATGGGCTCGCCTACCCAGTGAATTGTCCACTGCTCGACCCCCCCGGATCTCCATCCGTTTTAAGGGCATGTGATTAGACGCTAGCTTTCGTCACCAACCCCCCCAACCTCAAGTAATTCTAAAGGAGCCACCCTAAGACCCTGGTGGGTGTTTCGAAGTATTTGGTTTCCACCCTGGTCGACCCTGGTCCCACCCTCCCACCCTGAGGTATGTGGAGTGCGGCTTAAGTGGCTCGGCCGCGTGGAAGCGACGCCTGCTGCGGAGCTGCGGCTGGCGGGTCGTGACCGTGTCCTTCGATGAGAGCCGCTCGGAGCGGGTCGGGCGGGGCGTCGAAGATGCCGGGCTCGGAGCTCGGAGCGAGGGAAAAGACACCCAGCAGCGAACTGGGCCCAACGAGGAAAGTCAGAAGACAAAGGCACCAGGTACTAACAACCTGACGCAATGTGCATATGATGTGTGTTTTTATCGATGTATACATGTTGTTCAAGGTATAGCCTGAGTGCTTTGCGAAGATTCTTCCCTTGAAACGATCGGCAACGCCAGCGCCGACCCACGCAGGTCCGTCGATCCCTTGGTGGCACGAGTGGTGGATTTGGTTCCCTCTCAGGTGAGGAGTACATCGCGGACGCCCTAAAGAAGATGATCAAAACGGATTCCACCGAAGAGGCGTGGGGGAGGGGGGAAGTGTCAGATAATGTCAGATATATTCAGATAGTTATCTGACGCAGGCAGAGTATGGCTAGGCAAGGGGAGGACCCTGGTCCAGGAATGAGTCAGATCAAGACTGATCAGCGGATTGGACATGACATGTGCGCTGTCATCCTGGTTGATGAAGACTCTTTGCTGTTGTGCTGTGTTGGTTCCATCATGCAGTTTTTCGTGCTATCTGGATTGCCGGAGCAGAGTCCCAACCGCGAGGCCCGCAGTGACGAGGAGGCCCAGAAAGTGTGGTGACGGGGACGGTGGAAGAAAGAGGGAAGAATAGGGGTGAACCGGGTTTATTCCCACTCATGCATGATTAATGGTTTGTGTGATTTTGTGCGCATGGATATGTAAATATATGTAAATAGTTGATTAAACACACATGTGTCAGGTGTCCATATAACTATTATATATATATAGTATATAACCACGGCATCATTTCAGGTTTGAACTGAACCTTTTGAAACAAGTCAAGTCGACCCGTCCAGCCGGGGTCAGGTACAGTGGTTTTCTTTCTGGCTTTCATCAGCGGGTCCGAACCGTGGGTTGTGACTACAGGGCACCTGGTTTTGGTGGGGTTCTGGGATGATTCGCCTGAATGAGGAATCTCGAAGCCACCATCAGCCCGTCCACAGTAAGTAAGAAAGCATATATATATATATACAGTATAACCCCACGCCAGGCTCACGAGAAGAGTTGTCCAATTGAATCCCAGCATTTGGTTGTTAAGTTGTTGAGCAGTGACCAGTCATTGAAGCAGATAATGTAGACTCTTGATTAACAACCTCTCCAAATGAAGAGGACTTCCAAAAGGACTTGGGGAGGTTTCTTAATTAATCAAAGAGTCTTGAATCAAGAGTCTACATTATAAAAATCCGGATGTTGCATGGAACACTTCGAGTTCCTGGGTCTTTTGCACCTGGGACCTCCGCATCCAGGCCAGCCAGGGATTTGGGGCTTCATCCATGGAGGAGAACCGCGTAGTTGGACGCGCGAAACTGTGACCGGAGATAGGGTGGGGTCTGAACCATGTTTGAACAAAGGCTGATCAAGACCCAAGATCCCCCATAAAGGTTCATCATGGTTACGTGGATGGCAACCAGGCTCCTTGGAGGACATGTTCCTCAAGGCGTAACCAAGTGGTGCCATCCATCCACGTAACCATGAGTCGGTCACCTGATCGGTCTAATTCGTGACCTGACCTCGATCCTCCAGTCGCAGGCCTGGACGTATAAACACTCGGGACTGAACGAGCACATTGGGCCTTGCAAAGGCTCACGAACTGAAGAAGGCCGCCTGGCCATGCCCGGAACATGTGCTCGTTTGATCTGGTGATTCCTTGGTGGATAGATAGGTAGATGGATGGATAGATAGATAGATAGAGATAGATAGATAGAGATAGAGATAGAGATAGATAGATAGATAGATAGAGATAGATATAGAGATAGATAGATAGATAGATAGATAGAGATAGATAGAGATGGATAGAGATAGATAGAGATAGATAGAGATAGATAGGTAGAGATAGACAGAGATAGATAGAGATAGCTAGATAGAGATAGATAGGTAGATATAAATAGAGATAGATAGATAGATAGATAGATAGATAGATAGATAGATAGATATATAGATAGAGTATGTTTGAGTATGTTTATTTTGTTTTTGCAGCGGTTTTGGGGTTGCACCACTGCTTCACTACGAGGCATTTTCATTGATTTTCGGATTCTGCGGACATCTACATAGGTCCGGCTCGACATGCCGGTCACTGTCCACGGTGGAATTCGCAGGTCGGCGCCCGTTCCAGTCAACCAGTTGGAGGGTGCTGGAAATACCCCTCCTGCAGATGAACGTGGATCCCCCCCGAAAAGATCACTGGGGTCTTCGGAACGTGGTCGTTTTACATGTCGAACCACAGAACCAAAAAATAAGCTGCCTGAAGTCTCCAATGAGATGGGACGAGTGCAACGTATGTCAACGTATTCCAATGGGCGACTCATCCGATGTCCAATGGGCGGATCCGTTCCTTCGACTGACGGCGTCGGGAGCTCGGCTCGAGTGCCGGGTCGTCTTTGGTCATGGTCAGGGACGCGAGAACGAACGTCACAGTTTAGGGCAGTTCGCGAGCGACCGCTACGCAGCAAGGGACGCGTTTTTTTTTTTTTTTTCGAACGTAGCTCCTGGCATTGGTCGACCAGACTAGGAACGTAACCAGAAGCTACGAACGTAACAAGAAGCTATTCGGAGGCGTTCACATGACCACCACGAGAGGACTTGGGGGAAGCTCCCACAGTGGCTGGATTGAAAAGAGATCGCAAGGGGTGAGGAGGTGGGGCGAGGACTTGGAGTTAGACCGGCCCATCTGAGTGAAAATGGAAGAGTTCAGTCTCGGTCCCCAGATGGCCCCAACATGTTCAGATGTCTTTGAGGATCTTTCTCGGGTTTGGTGCAGGTCGGAATGTTTAGCCTGGCCTAGCTCAGCTTCTCTGTGGCCCATTGCACCGGGGTTGGCTGCAACTCTTCCAGCTTGATGACCCGAGTCATCGCACTTTTGGGTCCTGAACACAACAAATGGATAGATTTGAAGTGGTCAAATGGATGGATTGGAAGTGGTCAACATCACGTGGAAGCTGGCAAAGCGAGACGAACGCACTCCGCAAATCATTCAAGCAGTGGCAACAGTTGCAAGGTCTAATCTATATATACAGCGGCCCTCAAATCATCTCAGAGCAAAAAAACAAATATATATATATACATATTCTTATAGAGAGAGAAACAGTTTTCGTACCATTTTGGAGGGGATACACTTGTTGTGGGATGTTGAGATGTTCATTGCAACAAAGCTCCAGAGGCCACGGACCCTTGCTGAGGAGCTGGACCCGATGTCCATCGAGAAGCCACGGGAAGACGAGATGTCAGACTATGCCCCTCAGCGCGGGGAATGACCCGGTGGAGGGAGGCGCTAGAGTCAGGGCTTGGAGTAGAGAAGTGCTGGAAAGAAGATGAAAGAACCAGGGGTCACAAGACGGGGTGGTTTGGTTCGTCCCATCCAGTGAGTGGAGTAGCTGGGCACCCCAAACCTCCATGGATACCACCCGTTTGTAACTGCTGGAGGATAATTTCTCACGCCCCCATTCCGAAGCATACATTGAAATTTGCAGATGGTGACCCATGGCAACAAAGATCCCGAGTTGCATGCCGCTGGCTAGTCGCATGCCCCCCGTTGAATAGGAGATTGGTCGTCCATGAGTTGACTGCTTGGCCTTGCAGTTGTATGATGTTGTATGGCCTCCATCAGCATCCATCAACTCTCTCGGGTTTGTGTGAGTTTCCCTGCATGGTTTATATAGGTGCTATTCTGATGTTTCTTTGAGTGGGTTTCCCAACTCTGGATCGGATGGATCGAGGGGTCTGCGCCCAGGAGATCCAGCTGAGGGAAGCACATCAACAAGCCATGCGGAAGCTCAAGCTGCGGCTGCTACAGGAGTCTGGGAATCTGGAGTTGTTAAGTTTAGGTTCATACCCAGACACTCCATGTATGCCATATATGCCTACATTGGGGTGGTTTTGGGGGTCAATGTAGGCATATATGGCATACATGGAGTGTCTGGGATATATGATGGGTTTCAGCCTCATGTACATAGTTCTAATTGCTTCGGTGTTTCATCGGCTTTCCCTTCTGCTTGCTTGGAAAACGCTGGCCAGTGGAAAACGCTGGCCAGGGCAAGAGGCAGCGATAGGCCGACGGACCATACTTCGGTTGTGTGGTTTGACCTGTAACAGTCGACGGTCGAGAAACTTTGACCATGACTGAAGAGTACACGGACCCTGAAATAAAGAGGGTAGATGGATGTAGATGGGACATCTCCCAAAAGTGACGAACGCACCAGTTCATGGGAACCATCTCGGGCGGGTTAGAGATCCGCGGCAGGAGCGTGAGGATTTGGCTTCTTCCAAGAACTACGGGAAGTACATGCAGTATCGAGAATGGCAGGCACAGCGGGCTGGGGGTCTGTGGAGTTGATGAATCCTTTCACTTCACCATGTTTGACCGGATTTTGTCGAGAATCTTTCTTCCTCGCAGCAGAATTCATGCTCGTTGACACCCCTGTCTTTGCCAGTAGTTGAGCGCTATGTCCGTAGTCAGTGGGATCCACTTGGTTTGCTGGATTGCTTCCTTTCCCCCTTCTCGTTTTGTTCCATCCAAGGTCGAAGTTGAAAAGGAAATCATGCAGGAGTTGGTCGAGAGCTTGCAAGCCTCTTTGATGCAGAAGTACAGGCATAACTCCAGTCACATCCAGCCAATGGAACTCCTAAAGAGTAGACCAGGAAAGTGGACCTTCTTTCACCCCAAGCGATTCAGCATCGTTCCTAACCCTGGGTATCCTACCCATCCATCTGCAGAATCGAATCACCAAGTTAGCCACTTGCTTAGGGGGAAAAGAGAGGTTGACAGTTGGCATCGTAGAGCTTTGTTCTATTCTGGATCCATGTGGTCAGTGGTCAAGTGATCATCACATCAATCGCCTCTTCCGAAAAGGGGGGTGGAACGCGTGGGTCACGTTTCGCCCTCGAGACAGACCGCAGAGTACGGCAGGAACGTCGACTGGCCACCGGTCAACGCCGAGTCAACGCACCGCTGGCGCGGCAGACCGACCCGGCAGATCCGATCCGGGACCCGCCACCGCCGTGCGGTACGTGACCCGCCGCCGATGTGGCACCCCCACCCTGCAGGTTCCGGCGAGCACGTTGTGAGATCGCAGCTGCGAGATAGGGATTTTTTAGGCAGGCTCTGATAGGAGAGGTAGGAGATGGCGGAAGGAGGCTACTCCGGCAGCAGAGGGACTTCCAGGCATTTCCTTAATTGAATGCAAGCCAAAAAACTGAGAATAGGAAGACGGCCCAACCAATGCATAGGGCTTTGTGCGTGTCCCATTGGTGAGTCGGGTGGTGCCAGAACCATCTCAACATCGAACATTTTGTGAGAGATTCTTTCCAATGATGCCTCGAACCTTAGCGACTGTCCGGTGTTGTTTGAACCAGTGTCCAGTGTTCAAAGCTCCAGACAGGGCGAAGACCCGGCCCCCATAGTGTGACACGTCTTGTGACCCCCTCCACATGGAAAACAGCGTCACGGCGCTTTTCCGTTGGTTCCTTGTTTGGTGCATTATAGCAGCACGGTATAGCACGTGTTTTCCGTCAAGAAACGCCTCTTTCGAAGTTTGTAGCAACATGCTTTCTTCCATCAACATGTCCAATTCGTGGAGTCCACCGACGATGCGATTCTTTTCTCAGTGAGAGTTGATGAGGGTGCCGGCTCGTCATAAGAGCCGCCAAGACGTTGTCCGCCTAACACGTCATGGCAAGGGTAAACACATGCATGTGTGATATAAAAGCACGCAGATGTCAGGCTATGAGGAGGCTCTCAATTGATGCATGTTAACCATTATGTCAATGATGTCAGTATTTCAATGGATTTTCATGCATTTCCCAACGTCCTGTGGATTTCTTATATAGCTTCAGTCCATGCCATGGCAGATGTGTAGCCCAAATCGGTATGCCTGGAAAAGCGCTCTCTCACGCGGCACGTCAGCTTGCCTCATTCGTCCAGCGACGGCGGCCGCTTTAAGGCTTAGCCTAATCATCAGCATCTAGGAAACTACTTAATTACATCTATATAATCCTAGGACCTAGGATTCCAACCACCATCAATTTAATAGGCTTTACGGAACAACCATTGTTTTGCTGAGGATTTTAAAACCAGGTCAACCTTTTTTCAAACGTGGTCTTGTACTTCCAGGGTAATATAATTGCACAAAATCGACCTGGAGTAAATAGACAATACGCCAAATGTTTGATCCGTTTAGTTTGTCTATTTTTCGGGTTGTTGAGATAAAGCCTTTGTTCCAAGACCACTGGAGGAGGTTCAGATTTTGAGGATGAACGAATTTTGAGTTCGTTTCTTTTTCATATGTTGTCGAACAGTTGGTGCTATGATTACTGTGAGCTGCCAGTTTCATCCGAACGAGACATTTGGAGAGTTTCAACGGCGCTGGGACCTGGTTCGCCCGGCGAAAAAAAGGGCGTGGTGGAACTGGAGCAGGGAGGCATGGGACCCTTGAAGTTAATTAAGGCTTCACCATTAGCTCAAGTCACAAGCCCCGCAGTATATGTTTCTCTTCTACACCTCTATTCGATGTCGTCTGGGACACATTCGGCCAAGCAAAGGGCCCCCCAAGCACTCCGAAACGATGGGCCGACGTTTGAGCCCACACCGGTCGGGCGTGTGAAGGTTAGGCCTTGGAACGGTGCCTCGGACCGCCAGGCAAGAACGACCGTGGCCAATTGGGCCTCCCTCCCTCTGCAGCGCCGGTGATCGACCTGCTGGGGAACCCAGTGGACGTGAGGAGAGGAGAGCAATCAATGGAAAGTACCCTCTCTGGGAAGGAGCCAAGTGATCAGCGCAGGGCGAGCAGGACATCCATCAAGTTAGGCAGTCAGGATATGGAGTGATGAAGGTATCAATGGCGCTCACCGATGCTCCAGAAGGAACTTCGAGAATGATATGGAGGCTGTCTCTGAATGATGGATCACCAGTTTCGCGTCCACCTGCAGCTACCAGCTAAGCCTACCACTCGCGGTCGTCGGGCCCTCCCTCCATCGGTCATCGAAACGAGCAAGCGCCAGCGATCGCTTGGTGTCTTTGGACTCGAGTTGAGTGTCTTGGCCCAAACAGTCAAAGACTATACACCAGGGGTCACAAGACGGGGTGGTTTGGTTCGTCCCATCCAGTGAGTGGAGTAGCTGGGCACCCCAAACCTCCATGGATACCACCCCTTTGTGACTGCTGGCAGTGGTTTCAGAGGCTCGATGGCACGTTGCCCCCGTGATGTCCAGAACAGATGGGGTCTAAACGGCAACCACCTCTTGGGGCCCGTGCTATTGCCATCTACTCTCAATCCACTATATTTAAAAGACTTGTCTGACGTTTGGGGACCCCAAAAGGAACTTCCTTGACATCAGTCGGTCCAAATATAGTCTATCCCTGGACTTCTAGGGAAGGGAGAGGCCATGGATGCCGACCCCCAAACGAGGGCCGCTGTGTCACAGAGACCAGGGCACAAACGAGCAGATGATGGATACACAGGGGTTGGTAGGCATGTGCCATATGCAGCACTGCTTGTCGGACAGGCAGCTCCCCCCCCCCCGACAGCACGATACAACTGTCCAGATTGAAGCGCGTGTCGGCTCAGAATATGGTCAGTTCTGTTCCCAGTACGGTGGTAGAAGCTGGTCACCAGCTTTGGGCAAAGGCCACTTATGATACTTATGTATCTCAGAATATCTCAGATGATTCTCGAATCATCATCCCGTTGCATGGCAGACCAAAACCCTAATCCCAATGTGGCCAGCAGAAGCCTGGCTTCTGCCTGCAGGCCGTGGCAACTGAAGATCCCCCAGCTTGAAGAGATGCAGGAAAGTTGGTTGCCCCAGCTTGATGGAGGGGGTGGGGTTGGAGGGTGGTGTGACAAATTCATTGGGTAGCGGGGGACGTGAGGGTTCCTCCAGTGAACTCTGCACTCCTGGTAGCCTTGCCACAATGAACACGGTATTTCACCCTGGCGACGATCACTGGCGCATTGCCCCTGGCCCTTGAGCTGTGTATTCTTAATACTCCTTCGAATCATCATGGCACCACCGGTTTGTAGAGTCAAATGGCCCCGGTCCTTTGGTACTATTCAAGCATCCCTTATATATAACTATCCCACACGGCGGTCATGCTCCAGGCAAGATAAACAAAATATCAAAGACATTACAGTAAATTGATGCCAACAGCATCCGGAAACCGAACTGGTATGAACTGGTGAGCTTGCCTTTGGATGTACCAAAAACCTATACTCCAGGGATTGAAGTCATGCAGCTTGTTTCGACCACTTTTGACTCAGCCGGCTTGGCTCAGCTGGCGTTGTTCCGTGGGGGGCGGCGTGCCCAAGCTGCGCTGCAGCCAATGGGGGAATGCTACACATGTGGTGCCTTGGTGGCATGAAGCTTGCATGGGCAGCGCGAATGGCTGGCACGAGAAGAGCCCTTCTTGAATTTTCATGAGGACCATATTGTTGACTTTCTGGGAAATGTTTAGGTCAACGATTCAACGATGTTCTTCGAAGGGGTGGAAAGAAGTGTCGTTGTAGGCGGTCCCTTGGAAAAATCTCGAGGGGGTTGCTGTCTGTGGGGTCATTGAATCATACCAGATCATACCAACACTCAAGGGATAAGGCGTTTGCCGCTTAATTATGGTGCTGCTTCGGGCATGCCTCAGAAATGCCCAGATCGGGTTGCATGTGGCGTCTTTTGGTGACAGACTGCAGCAGACACATGTGGTCAGAGTGGTCTTTGGGTTTATGGGTCCGATCCGGTTGCCTTGGCACAAGCCACAAAGATGCCCGAAACATCCAGATCGGTGAGCTTCCTGGGCGGGCACAGGCCCCGCTGTCGCTACGCTACCACCGTGACATGTCCGCCCGAGTTGAGGTGAGTTTGGACACATCTCACGAGATTGCTGGATGCCGAGCTTGGGGCGCGCCAACAGTGGGCCGAGATTGTGCCATAATCTACCCTAACCGATTCACCCTCCACCAGATGGGCTGAGACACCTCCAAAATCAGTTCAAAATGAGTCCTCACTTTGACCCTTCGCCCTTTCTGGAGCGTCAGAACGGGCTCCATATGGGCTCCATGGGCCTCTGGGGATCGGCTTAGACCATCTCAGCTGGGCCCGGGACCGGAATATACCGGAACCGGTCCGGGAAGTTCCGGCCGTCCCAGGTCCAAAGAAGGGCAAACCGGGCTTCCAGGACGGGACGGCCGTTGTGGAGTCCAAAGGGGCATGTCTTGTTTGAGATGGTGAGTGCACAGCGAAGCTAGTTGAGCAAGTTCAGAACTGCTGTCTGAACTGAGATAGCACAAGGAGCTCGACTGGAAATCCCGTGTTTGATGGCTTTGGGTGGTGCACGACGATGGCCTACAAATGGTGAGAATTTCATACCTTCTCGCCAGCCCTGAGGAGACTAAAGCAAACTAAAGCAAACTTGCTGACTTGACCAATTTCATATGTTCATGCACATTCAACCGACCTTCACTATCCATCATTACAAAATTAAAAATCAGCTCCAACTCAGGAGAATTCACCTGGTTCAATCCCGAACCTTGCGCAGGACCCTGGCCCTCCCCCAACCGCCCCGCCCTCAACACCGTCGGCCAGGAGGTCTGCGGCGACTTTCGCCGGGGGCGCTGCGACCGAGGCGAGTCCTGCCGCTTTCGCCACGAAGGCCGGTCTGTGACGATGAGACCCTGGCAGCCTGGGTCGGTCGGCAGGCGTGGAATCAGTACAGCCTCCCAGAGCGAACGGGTTTTGCTTGGGTTCTTGATGGTTCTTGGGTTGAACTTGTGGGAAACACCGGAGGAACCGGAAGAGGAGAAGAACATGGGATATGCAAGTAGAAGCCGGAGACCCGCCAAAGAGCTGTGGGAAAACGAAGAACAGACTAAATCAGTGTGTTATAGAGGTCATCCTATTAAAAAACAAACCCACATGGCTCAGGTCCCAAATCTCTGATGCACAATCCATTATAGTTGTATACTGTAGAATCTGTGGAAGTTCTGCACTTTAACTATTACAAAACAATATAACGCTGATGGATCTGTTCAAATCTGTGTACTCTGCTTCTGTGCGTATTTAGCTGAAAACGCGCTATA